TGTAAAACCATTCCTATTTCTCCACATCCTCTCCAGCTTCTGTTGTTTCCTGACTTTTTAATGATCACCATTCTAACTGGCATGAGATGATATCCCAGTGTGGTTTCGATTTGCATTTCTCTAATGATCAGTGATGATTGGCTTTTTTTCATATGTTTGTTGGCTGCATAAATGTTTTTTTGAGAAGGACAGACAGCTATTTTCTTCAGAGTTCTCTGTTAAGGAGAATCTACCAAATGCCAAAAGATGATATATTCAAACCATCTGTACTTTATCTAAATGTGTAGCAAACCTCCATACTGTATAATTGCTTCTCATACTTCAAGATTGCTTTCCTTGTATCTTCAAATAAAATGTACTGACAATGAGGAATACATTTTTGTTTTTGTACTATTTTCCATATATCACTTGAGCCATTAAATTGGCAGCAGTAATAACATTTCTCCAATGGTACATGGTTTGTTAATATTTTTCTCTAGTAAGTAAAAATGTAAAATAGGCTTCACAATTTATAATTAAGTTTAATGTAATTTTATGATTGATTACATATGATGACCAAAATAACAGAGACAATTATAATGCTTAGATTTTCATTGTTTTGCTAATCATAACTTCATACTATCTTTTCTTTAAACTTTTAAGTTCATGGTACATATGCATGTTTGTTACATAGTTACACTTGTGTCATGAGAGTTTGTTGTAAGGATTTTTTCATCACTGAGGTATTAGACCTAGGACCTATTAGTTATTTTTCCTCATCCTCTTCTGCCTCCCACCCTCCACCCTCTTGTAGGCCACAGTGTCTGTTGTTCTCCCCTATGTGTCCATATGTTCACATTGTTTTTCTCCCACTTATAAGTGAAACATGTAGCATTTGATTTTCTGTTCTTGCCTTAGTTTGCTATGGGTTGTGGTCTCCAGCTCCATCCATGTTCCCAGAAAGGACATGCTCTCCTTCTTTTTCATGGCTATATAGTATTCTATGATGTATATGTACCATATTTTCTTTTTCCAGTCTATCAATGGCAGGCATTTAGGTTGACTCCATGTCTTTGCTATTGTGATAGTGCTTCAAGGAACATATACTTGCAAATATCTTTAGGATAGAATGATTTATATTCCTTTGGGTATATACCCAGTAATGAGATTGCTGTGTTGAATGGTAGTTCTCTTTTTAGGTATTTGAAAAATCACGACACTATTTTCAACAATGGTTGAATTAATTTTCACTTCTGCTGACAGTATGTAAGCATTCCTTTTTCTCTGCAATCTTGCCAGCACCTGTTACTTTTTGTGTTTTTAGCAGCCATTCTAACGAGTGTGTGATGATATCTCATTGTGGTTTTGATTTGCATTTCCCTAATAATCAGTGATGTTGAGCTTTTTTTCATATGTTAGTTGGTTCCATGTACAACTTTTCTGAGAAGTGTCTCTTCATGTCCTTTGCCCACTTTTTAATTGAGTTGATTTTTTTCTTGTAAATTTATTTAAATTCTGTGTAGATGTTTGGTATGAGATCTTTGTCAGATGCACAATTTGCAGACTTTTCTTCCATTCTGTAGGTTGTCTGTTCCATTTTGTAGATTGGTAGTTTCTTTTGTTAATGCAGAAGCTCTTTAGTTTAACTAGATCCCATTTGTAAATTTTTGCTTTTGGCATCTTCATCCTGAAATATTTGCCTGTTCCTATGTCCAGAATGGTTTTGCCTAGGTTGTCTTGAGTTCCTTGAGTTTCCTAGGGTTTTTTGAGTTCCTTGTGTATTCTTGATATTAATATTTTGTCATAGTTTGTAAATATTTTCTCCTATTCAGGTTATTTCTTCACTCTGTTGATTGTTTCTTTTGCTGTGTAGAAGGTTTTTGTTTGATGTAATTCCATTTGTCTATTTTTTGCTTTTGTTGTCTGCTTTTGAGGTCTCATCCATAAAAATCTTTGCCCAGACCAATGTCTTGAAGCATTTCTCCTGTTTTCTTCTAGCAGTTTCACAGTTTCAGGTGTTAAATTGAAGGCTTTAATTCATTTTGAGTTGATTTCTGCCTATGGATAAAGATAAGAGCCTATTTTTATTCTTTTGCCTGTGGATGTCATCATCACGTTAGATAACTATTATGCAGACTTTTTTGTGTGGTTGCTATATAGTATCACTTGTCTGTGTATTTATATATGTTTTTGTTGTGGTCATTGCTTTCCATATTTTCTGCTTCCTTCAGGAGCTCTTGTAAACCAGGTCTACTAAGAATTCCCTAAGCATTTGCTTTTCTGAAAAGGATCTTAAGTTATTTATTTAGTTAGTTGGTTAATTTGACCAGATACGAAATTCTGGGTTGGAATTTCTTTTTTTTTTTTTCAAAGGACATTAACTATTAACCCCCAATCTCTTCTGGCTTGTGGGGTTTCTGGTAAGAGGTCTGCTGTTACTCTTATGGGCTTCCCTTTGTATATGACCCAATCTTTCTCTCTAGCTGCTGTTAACATTTTTTCTTTCTTTTCAACCTTGGAGAATCTGATGATTATGTATTGTTCTCCCTGCCGAGTTTCATTCTTGCTACAGTGTTGGTGCAGGAGTGGGACTCTGGAGGTGGCGGGGCTGTCAGGCTGCAGTGGGGTGAGGAAGCAGGCAGGCTGGTATGTGGCTGTGAGCACTATTCTCCAGCAGTTGGGTACAGTCCCCCAGTGTGGGAGTATAATGTGGGTCCCCAGCACATCCAACACGGTACTGCAAGCAAGTGTGGCCAGGCTGGGGCTCCAGGAGAGGCCAGCAGACCAAGGGGTGCTCAGGTTGGACTAGCCCTGTGTGATAGGCAAGACTGCCCTGCAGCATTCAGTTCTGACAGTTCCCTTTGGGCTAAAATCTATGGGAGCACAGGCATGTCTTACATGGCAGCAGGCAAGAGGGTGTGTGCAGGTGAACTGCCCTTTATAAAACTGTTAGATTTCATGAAAACTAATTTACTGTCATGAGAACAGCACAGGAAAACCTGTCCCCATGATTCAGTTACATCCCACCAGGTCCCTCTCATGTCCCATGGGGATTATGGGAGCTACATTTCAAGATGAGATTTGAGTGGGAACACAGTCAAAGCATATCACTACCTACCACAATACCTGGCATATAATAGATGCTCAATAAATGTTTGTAGAATAAATCTTTTTTTTTTTTTTAATTTACCAATGGTACTACTAGTTTTTTCATGGTTATATTTGTTAGGAAAAACTTTTGTTTGAGTAGTAAATGATAGATGGGGATTTGGAAGGAAGGAGAGAGAAAGAGAAAGAAAAAAACAATAAACCATTAGAAAAAACAAATGCACACACTCATTAAATGACACAATTTTTATTGATTGATTGATTTAAGTGGATAGTGATTTCAATGGGAATTTTTCCTGGTGACATGATTCATTCTTTACTCTTGTTGAAATAGAAACCTATTTTAGCTTCAATATTATGATAAACGGGATATATTAGTGGCAGTGCTAATAGCTTAGTATTTTAGTCTTCCACAACTTGATGCCTGTGGTATCTGGACATTTCATGTCCCGTTCTTGTAAATAAGGAGTCAGTGATGTTTAAGGAACAGTAACTGTGGCCAGAAAAGGAAAAAAAAAAAAAAAAGACCAGCGCAGTGGCTCACCTGTAATCCCAGCACTTTGGGAGGCCGAGGTGAGTGGATCACGAGGTCAGCAGTTTGAGACCAGCCTGGCCAACATAGTGAAACACTGTCTCTACTAAAAATACAAAAAAAATTTGCGGAGCTTGGTGGCAGATGCCTGTAATCCCAGCTACTCAGGAGACTGATGCAGGAGAATTGCTTGAACCCGGGAAGGAGAGGTTGCAGAGAGCTGAGATCATGCCATTGCATTCCATCCTGGGCAGCAGTATGAGACTCCATCTCAAAAAAATAAAATAAACAAAAACTTCATATTTTCCAAGGTAAGCAATATAAATGGGGCTTAGGAATACCCCATTAGATAAAAAAAAATCTCCTAGAGGAGAACCCTTGAGCCTACAAACTAAACTTTGAATATAATTTTAAATAAAGGCTTTTATGTAGTATGAGTGCATTTTTTAGTTGATTATCAATTGGCACTATTATGTAGGCCTACTAGATTTGCAAATTTACAAGTTTTTACAAGTCAGTTGGGTCCTTCCTCAGGAAATCAGTTTAAGTTTTTTTTCCTATATTGACTCAAAGAGCCTAGTTGTCCTTAAATCCTGTGCATATATTTGCCTTATAATTTGACTGCATTGAATCAACACCCTTATAGGGTCTGTAGTGTTGTAAAAAGAGAAGCTGTTAAATAAAAGATCACGTTTGGAAAAATAGACTGTGCCAGATAAAACCAGTATTGGATATGAGTACTGTGCTTTTCTTTAAAGCGCCTACAACTATTCAAGGAAATATATCCTTGCCCCTTACTCTCAAAATGGATATTCTAGATGAAAACCAACTGATCTATGTCTTTGTGAAATTAGACTATGCTTATAAATTAATGTAAACACACATGTAATATTGATCTGTTAAGGAGAAAATTATATATTTGTGTTAACATTCAAGCCTATAGAGATTATAGAGCTAATTATTATTAAAGTAATAAAACTGTTTCAAACCCAATATGCTTGGGTAAGTACACCTTGCCTTCAATTAATCACTATGTTTAAATGTACTTTAAGTAGATCTTTGTTGGGCATCATCAGTGTGCCTGAACTTACACAGAGAATGATGATAGCTCACAGTTTTTTGTAGCACTTAATATGCTGGTCATTGTGCATTATACATAGATTAATTATCAAATCACTCTGTACAAAGTAAGAATATTTATTAATCCCAATTTATAGATGTGGAAACTGAGGCATAAAGAGGTTTAATAAATTTCCCAAGATTACACAGTTACTGACTAAGCTGGAATGTAATACTGGAAAGCAAATCAAATTTAAATATGTTAAAAATGTTTTTATAGACTCTAATATTGAATTCTTTTCTCTCTTTAACACCTTTCTAGTTGATTTGGAGCATATGCGAACAATAAAACCTGAAAAACACTTACGGTTTTGCCAGGAAAATGGTTTTAGTAGCCACTTTGTCTCAGCCAAGACAGGAGACTCTGTAAGTAAAATAATGAATACTGTATATTATAATTGATGGTTCTACTTTTATCTACTGACATTCCTAGGAAGTATATTTCTATTATTTAACCTTTGGTGCAAATTAATTCCTATAGAAGATATGAAATTCCTTAGCTTAAGTATACCATGTTTATTCTGGTTATATTTTATAATTCATTTAACTTAATTTTGTGGTTATTTGTAAAAAGGGAATTAAAATGAATATAAACCCCTCATAATCTCAGTATTTAGAGACAGCCACTCAACCTCATATGATTCCATCTAGTCTCCCTTCCTGATGCTCACAAATGCTAGTGTTGCTGCTTGCAGCTAGGAGATGGTATTTATTGAGTGCTTACTTTGTTATGGACATTGTACTACGCTGATTATCTCTATTTTTTTTTTTTTGAGACGGAGTTTTGCTCTTGTTACCCAGACTGGAGTGCAATGGCGTGATCTCGGCTCACTGCAACCTCCGCCTCCTGGGTTCAGGCAATTCTCCTGCCTCCGCCTCCTGAGTAGCTGGGATTACAGGCACGCGCCACCATGCCCAGCTAATTTTTTGTATCTTTAGTAGAGACGGGGTTTCACCATGTTGACCAAGATGCTCTCGATCTCTTGACCTTGTGATCCACCCGCCTCGGCCTCCCAAAGTGCTGGGATTACAGGCTTGAGCCACCGCGCCTGGCCGATTATCTCTATTTTATAGATGAGTTTCAAAGAAATTATGTAATAGGGTCCAGATTACACAATTAATAAGTGGAGAAGATAGGATTTGTGAAGGCAAATAGTGACACCCTGGGGCTCGCAGTCTTAACCTCAACTCTATTTTTAAAATTAAGATTATAATATAGAAATAATTTTATATTTTACTTTTTACTTAAAATTTTTGTCATTCCCAAGTCATTTAATAAATGTTCAAAAATGTATTCAATCATATTCCTATTGTGTAACATATAGATCATTTCCAAGTTTTGAACATAATGTTCTAACGTAAAACTTTGTCCATAAGCTTTGATGTTTTATTTTCTTTAGATAGATTCATTGATAAGGGATTGAAACATTGCCAAATCATCACCAGAAAGACTAAATTCATACTATCACCAGCTTTGTATGTTTGCCATAACTACATCTTTTTAACATTCAGTATTTATTTATGTATTTTTCATATTAGTAGATCCCAAAAAAGAAAAAAGATACTTCACTATTTAAATTTGAGTTTCTTTGATTACAATTGAGGTTGAAATTTTAAAGGTTTTATTAGTTACTCACTTTCTGCTTCTTACTTGTTATAATTTTCTATTGCATTTAGAAATTTTCTATGACCATTTTTATATTAGCACTAATAGTCATGTGTCATAATTTTTTCAAATAATCCTCACTGACCCCCATTTGAGTATTTTCCAGTTGATATTTTTCAACTAAAAGAAGTTTGAAATTTTTCTGTCGCTTAATCTTGATATTTTTCTCTGTTTATAATTTTACACCTAAAATAAATACTGAATAATATAACGGGGTTTAATCTTTCTTTTGTTCAGACTCATTAAAAATTTTGGCCTCCTAGAACCCTTTCCCCCCAGACAATGTGAACATGGCCACATACTCACCCACCCATGCCTTTTAAAATATATATATATTTTAATATTATTTATAAAAACATATAAATAATATAAAAATATAAATATATTTTTATTTATAAAAAATATATAATATCAATAATCCTAGATAAAGTCATCCATGGATTCATTGAGCTTCTACCCTCACTTAATCTTCCTGGGGTCTTTTTGCCATTTCAGAATTATTTTAACTTACAGTATTTTAGCTTGTTTTCAACCACCTTGTATTTTCTGGTCACTTAATTTTTTTTGTGTACTTCTGTTGAACCACTATTAAAAAGCTCCTTTATTTTTTTCAAGTAGTACTTTGAAATGGTTTGTTTGTATGACAATACTTTAAGACTTGTAATCATCTCCAGCTCCGGGTAACTTCCTCTCATTGCTTAAGGAGTTAATTGAGCTCTTGCTTTACTACGCTTTCTCTGAAATTACCTCTGTCATAATTCTTAGTGATTTCAGTATCCTTGACTCCACCTTAGTCACTCTCGCATACTACAGATCTTGTCATTACAGATTTCTGTGGCTCTTCTATTATCTCAATATCAGGCATCCTAATCACCACCAACCATCTTCTGTTTCACACCCTTGACTACCCAAAGACAACCATTCTCAACCCTAGCAAGGCCTACAAACATTGATCCTAACACTTTTGCGAAATCTTAACCTACTTTCATGTCTTCATTTTTCTCTCTTCTGAACTTAAATCTCATGGCCAGTCCAAATCATTGTTATGTGTATACTCTCCATTCCCTTTTCTCTCTTTCACTTTGTCAGACTCACTTGGCTAAATGTTAATTCTGTTTTAAACCAAGCCTCCACTTTTAATGGCTGTACCCATGAAGATGACCAAAAAAAATCACAGAGGGATGCTGGAGGTTTCACTTTAAGTTCAGAATCACTAATCTCAAGCGGGCCCTAATGCTGCTCAGTAATTATGCCATATATCCCTAATCTGTCACCTGTTCCCTCACCTAGATGACTATTTCATAGCTTTTCTTCTTCAAATGTTCAAACCATCCTTCTCTCTTTTCTCAGCTGATAACCTTGTTTCCTATAAGAAATTTGACCTAACCTCAGGTTAGGTCTAACCTCATCCTACTTACCCCATGTGTTCTCATACCTTCTGTCTTCTCTGTGGTTACTATGGGATTTATTCTCCCAGCCAGGGCCAGGAGAATAATTTGCTGAATCAAGGATATTGCTTTATCACTTCTCTCTCTTTCATGTGTATTATTTTTCCCATCTACTAGATTATTCTTTCACCATACAAAATATTATGACTTCTTTTATCATAAAAACAAGAAAACTCTTGATCCCTCATTTTTTTTCTAGCTGTTGCCTTATTTCCTTCCTTCACTTTCCAGTTGGATGTTTCGAAAGAGTTGTTTCTAGGTCTTCTTTTCCAAATTTCTCTTTAACAGTTCCAGCAGACTTTTGCCTCAATATTTTATTGAAACTACTATTATTCAGGTCATCAGTGGCCTCCTTTTTGCTGAATCCAATGGTCAGTACTCAGCCCTCATCTTATTTGATTAAGTAGCAACATATATAATTGTGATCACTCTCTCCTCTTTGAAATACTCTCTGTATTTAGCTTCCAGGATACAACGCCTCCTGTTTTTCTTCCTACTTAACTCACTACCCTGTCAGTCTCCTTCGCTAATTTTCTCATCTCTCCACCCAGCTCAGTTTCTGTCCTTAGATTTCTCTTTTTCTACACTTATTCCCTTAGTGGCTTTATTTAGTCTTCTGGCTTTGCCAAGACTTTTCCCCCTGAACTTTAGACTCTTAAATCTAACTGCCTGCTCAACATCTCCACTTAAATGTCTTAACAGGCTCCCCAATTTAAGATGTTTAGAACTGAGCTTTTGATATTCTCTCCTCACAGTCTTCCTCACTTTTATAAATAGCAGATCTATTCTACCAGTTGCTCAGACCAAAAAGTTTTGGAGCCAATTTTGACTCCTCTGTCTTTCTCACACCCCACATCTGTCAACAATTCCCTTTGGCTGTTCTTTGAAAATATATCCAGAACCTACTGACTGTTTCTTACTGTGTCCACTTCTACCATTTTGGTTCAGCCTTCATAATCTTTTACATTAGTTTACTTGATTGATTTCTTTTTTTGTATACTTAGTCTCCTACAGTGAATGCTTAATACAAACAACCAGACTAGGCCGGGCGCGGTGGTTCACACCTGTAATCCCAGCACTTTGGGTGGCCGAGGCAGGTGGATCACGAGGTCAAGAGATCGAGACCATCCTAGTCAACATGGTGAAACCCCGTCTCTACTAAAGATACAAAAAATTAGCTGGGCATGGTGGCACGTGCCTGTAATCCCAGCTACTCAGGACACTGAGGTAGGAGAATTGCCTGAACCCAGGAGGCAGAGGTTGCAGTGAGCCGAGATCGCGCCATTGCACTCCAGCCTGGGTAACAAGAGTGAAAATCTGTCTAAAAAAAAAAAAAAAAAAAAAAAAAACAAACAAAAAAACAACCAGACTAATGCTGTTAAAATAAAAGTCACATTAGGCCACCCTCCCAAGCCTTCCATTTCATTTGGAGTAAACGCCAAAGTCCTTCCAGTAGCCTGCCAGGTTCTACGTGCTTTGTACTGCCTTCATCTCTTTGCTTATCTTCTTTTATAACCACACTTTTTCTCCACTCCAGCACAGTACCTTTCCTGCTGTTCCTTGAACATTGACCATCAGTGAACTAAAATATATTATGCTTCTTAGGGTACAAATGGCATAAAGCTATCAGGAATATTTATCCCTTTTTTGTTAGAAATAAATATTAATAAAGTTTTGATAAATATTTTATAAATAATCATATCATGAATAGGGATAAGAATATGATAGGTCATTTATAAAGAAAAGATAAGTTATACTACAGTAAATGTCAAGGTTGGAACTCTGATAATCATAGTAGACCTGGCATAAGCTAACTATATGTGGAAAGGTATATAGAAAAATATTTGTCAATTTTTGCTTAGTCATAATGGAATATAATTTTTCTTTACTCTGAACTGACAAAATATAGTAAAGAATACCAAGTTGCTTTACTCAAGATACATGGAGAATTTGTTGGAATGATATGAAAAGCACAGAGATTATGAAAGTATTTGAAAATAAGACCCTTTAAGATAGGCTAAAGGTGGCTAAAATAACCAACATAAAATGGGCAGCGAAAAGCTAGGGTAGTAAAGTATAGATTATTTTATTTTCTCCAGGAATTATGGAGTTTTTATACTAGTGAGTATGTTGTTTTGTTGTTTTTTAAAGTGGTAGCTGTAATCATCATGTAAATCTTTAATGTATATGTTTAGAGAAAATGATCAATTCATTGAATTGCATGGAGTTTTAAATTATGGATTAATAATTTAAAAATTATTATATTTAAAATGTTGCGACATTTGACAAAGCTATTTTTGGAATCACTTGCTACATCATATTTTTACAATTATTACTGTTTATCATTTTTAAGAAAATTCTGTATATTTGAAGATAACTTAAGCATACCTCTTTGACATCATTTAAACCCGTTTTTGTTACGTAGGTCTTCCTGTGCTTTCAGAAAGTTGCTGCTGAAATCCTTGGGATCAAATTAAACAAAGCAGAAATAGAACAGTCACAGGTGATTACCTTGAACTTAATATTTAAAAAATTAATGAATTTCTTACAAAGCATTAATTATGACCCATAAATTATTTTCCATTTATGCCTTCTGTGTATGTATCTTTAAAAGCTTTGGACATAGACTGTATGCATGAGTCAGTGTTGATTGCAGAAGATGGAGAATGTTAACTTTTTGCCAAATTATGATATCCTTCAAACCTTGTTGTGTCTCTTTTGTTGGGAAAAAGATACTTAGTATAATGAAATTTTTATTAGTAGTTAACTAATGAGTTAAGGTGCTGACAATGTTGTTTTGTACCTTTTTATTTAAATTCTTTTCAGAGCTTCTATTCATTTTTAAGACATCCTTGACTGTAATTATATTAGTTTTTAATGTTATTTTGTCAGTTTAATAGTGTTATTAATTAGTAAGGATCTCTAAGTTTTTTCACTATTCCTAGATAGTTCTCTTACACTAAGAAAAAGATATGCAACCAGCAGCCAAGAACTTTAAAATACCACTATAATATCCCACTAATTTATATGTTTGAGAGAATGAAAAATCAGAGCAAGAGTCTATAAAGTTACACTTCAGAAGTGGTTTGGTTAGAAATAACAAACTACTTACGATTTCCCTCAATTTCTTCCACCCCATTCCCAACCCTGTGCAACTAAAAAGTGTAATTACCTTTTCCCGTCCTTAAATTTTTCTTTAATTCTTTTAGAGTTAGTTTTGTATCTTATTCTCAGGGTCCCTTCGTGAGTGTGTGTGCACGTATGTGTGTGTGTGCACGTATGTGTATGTGTGTGTGTTTCAAAACAAAGCAAATATCGAAAATTATTAGACTGATGTGGCTGTCTCTAGGACTTGATTAAAATATTTGAGGCTTTAAACATTTGCTACTTTTAATTCCCATCATTCTAAGATATTTGTTTTAGCACTTTCTGTGGCCAGATACGGTACTAAGATACTTTGTGCTGTTTAGCTCCCAGGCACATGAAAAGTGGTTACTTGGTTTGGGCCTAGGAGAATATAAGAAAGAGAAGTCACCATGATTTGCTTGATCACACAGAACTTGGATCCCAGAGGTCAAGTGATTCCTTTCCTTTTTAGTTTCTCTGTCTGAAAAATGTTTTTCTCTGCTTAATTAGAGAGTCTGTGATTATCATAAGTGATTTATTGATCATACCTTATATACTCAGTTTAGTGGTGGGTCTAAAAAAGAATTAAAATACTTTAAAATGTCCCTGCTTTCAGTAAAGAAAATTAATATGTTATGTGCCAGGGGGACTGCATTATCTCAGTTAATCCTCATAATAACTCTGGATCAGGTGAAATTTTATGATTTTATGATCAGGAAGATGAGACTATGGAGAGATTAAGTAACTTGATCACTAACCCTTAGTTGGGCAATGGTTGAGCCAGGATTTACACCCAGGTCTCTCTGACACCAGTGCCCTTGGTGTTTTCACTCTACCATACTTGGGGAAAGTATACTGTGCACTTTGGAGTGAAAGGAAAAAAATGGCTGAAAGAGGAGCTGGTATGAACAATATACCTGGGTACAAAAGCTTAGATTGTATTTTGCAAACGGAACAGTTTGTTTAAAATTAATGACCATTTGTATCAGACTATAAAGAGTTTGGGAACAGATTTGGGGATTTATGAATGCCAAGTTGATTAATTTTATTTGACTCATAATCATTTTGAGGTAGGGCAATAGATGAAAGCAGTTTTTAGATAGAAGTAACCTAATGGGATATTTTTGTATGTCGTTGGATGGGAGGGAGATTGGGGTAAGGAGACTGAGTTACTGCCACCATGTAATAAGGACCAGAGTGAAGGTGGAAGGGAAGAGCTGGATGGATATAAGGGAGATTTTAAAGAAGAACCAATAGGGCTAATGGAATGATTGGATAAGAGGTAGTAGAAGTCCAAGATAACCCTGAGATTTCTTGCCTGGAGGAATGAAGAAAGGGGAAACTCAATGATTGGTGGTCTTTCTGAGACGGGGAATAATGGGCTGGTGCTTTACAGGTGAGAGGCTGCACCGAAGAATTCCTTGTACTGCCTGAGCTGTGCAATATTGCAGGATACAAGTAGACCTCTGGAGAGATGAAACAACTGGGTACTTTTGAAAGGCAAAATTTGGAGAAGCTTTATTAACATTAGCTCCTTCTTCTTGTAAGATCAACAGAGTTGCTATTTTGACTTTAGATATTGGCTTAACATTCTGGTATATTTTAAATAAAGAGATATTAGATGTGTTAACACTCTACCCTCCCTGCACATCTACCTTGTTTATTATGCTTTGAGGTTTAATTCTATCTTCAGTTTGTCGGTGACATTTACTCTTAATGCATTCATTTGAAGGTGAATTCAAGCTACTGCAGCCCTCTATATGTTGGTCAAAATTCTTTGTGTATAGCAAGAAGCCTCATTAGCCTTTCTTGATCCTGATGAATTTGGTGTTTTTGCCAATTAAATTATTGGTTTTACAATTGATATTTCTTAGTGGAAACATTTTTGAAAGTTCATTTAAAGACAAGGAAGTGCAGTTAGCAAGCGCGTGCACTCGCTTGCATGCACACGCGTGCACACACACACACACACACACACTGCATGTGGTTTTTGCAACATTTGAAAGATTACTGGAGGGATTCAAGAGAATGTTTGAAAGCACTTTGTATTATTTTATAGAGAAGGAGTTAAATGGCAGACTCACCAGTCACATTGATATTGATGCTCTACCACAATAACTTAGTTTGGGACATAAATATTTTGAGAGTTTAGTCCTAGTTCCATTCACTGATTATTTAAAGAGATTCTGCTAGTTTACTTCTAACCTAGATTGCTCCTGTTTTTGAGTTATATATAAAATTAGATATCAACACATTTTGCAAGCTTGGCAAGGAAGAGGAAGAGAGAGAAAAGAAAGTGAATGCACAGTAAACATACTTTGAGGGTCTATTTAATGCCAGGGACAACACTAGAATCTGGAGATACAGACATGAATAAAAGAAGGTCCCTATCCTCAAGGAGCTCCCAGAATAAGTGGGGCAGCCAAACATTTAAACAATGAACACTATAAATCCATTTTCACAATTCCCAATTTGGTTAATTTATGTAGTCCCATTTGCATCATTTATGTAGTCTTCCCCTTTCTCCCCGACCCGCCATTAATCCTCTAAGATAGTGTAAGAATTCATACTGTTGTTAACAAGTGTTCTAGTTTCCCAGGTTGTTTAGATTTTCTATTTGCAAAGTACTTAGAACTTTAGGAGAAAATATAAATTTACAACTGCTATTTTTTAGGAAATCCAGCAATCAGCTCTTTAAGAATGCATTAGATAATCGATAAAGAAAAAGCTTAGTCCGATGAGTCCTGTCTTGTGTCCTCCAGTCTCAATTGCAAGGAAGTTTTGCCATACCTACTTGGTGTTAAGAGTTTAATACATTTTTAAGCATCAACATTTTTACTTACCAATTAATAAACTATGAATTTCTGTCTGGTTTGAACTAGATATGTATTAGCTTTTAAAATAACAAAAATTTATATCATGTCTGAGATATTCATTAAACTTGCTAAAAATATATATTCCTATTGTCACCTCAAACTATTTTCAGACTGTATATGAAAGTATCTCACATTGGGCTTGGCATGTGATAGACATGCTCAAGATTTTGGTCGTCTTAATTGGCAAATAATTGTACAGTGCAAGTACCCATTTAACCTTTGATCTTAAGAGCCCTTTCTGCTTATTAGCTTTATCTGAGTATTGATCTTCCTCAGATTTTTTTTTACCCAGATGTTAATTTTTTATGTTCATTTTCCCCAGTATGTTTATTAAAACTGTACTGGGATTTCTTTTTTATCCTAAACACCACTTGTTTTCTTGAGGAGCATATCTTCTCATTTTGTACATTCTACTCTAATTCTCAGGTATTGAACATTGCTTAATGGATTCTCATGTCACATCCCATTTTTCTTTTTCCTATTCATCTTTTAAATTAATTTTTTAATATAAAATTTCAAAACTAGATGGGATTTTAGAGATAATGTAGGTAAACCTTGTTTTTATAGATTAGAAAATTGTGAAGACAGAAGTAAATAACTTGCACAATGTTTTCTTACTGGCAGCATATAATGGTCTCTTTGATATATGGAAGAAGAGTAGCTTTTTTAAAACTCCTGTGTGGAAAGTACTGTGCTTTTTAACATATTATATCCTATAGCCATGCTTTAAATTGTATTCTGTAATCTTGTTGTACTTTGAATGTACATCACTCAGAATATTCTGCAGTAGTTTACACATCTATTTTCTATGCTAGACTCTTATGTATCTCAAAAAACAGAGATTGTGCATTATTTACCTAAATGTTTGCAATGCCTGGGATAGTGATTGGCTTTGAATGAATGATAGTGACAGATGTTTTAGCCTTCAGGGTGTGTTTACTCCATATCCTGGGCATGACAAACTATGGCTTTTGCAGTGGTAAATACGTTCCTATTATCTGGAGTAAGGTATAGTTGCACAGTTGACCAAATTTATCTTTAGCATCTCTGCAAGAGCCCATCTATACACCTTACACCTTTTTGCACCAACTCATGTTGCTTTCTTGCTTATGCCCTCCATAGCCACCACTTCCATTTCCAGTATCCACTTGACAAATGCTCTTTGAAAATATCAGGCTTAAACTTGTGTTCACCCATGTGACTCCTTTCCTTTTAGGGCCACTTTGTTATTTTCATTTCATCAACAAATTGCAGAGAATAATTGAGTTTACGTTGTGGCTCTTAAAATAATGGTTGGTGTTTTGCAGGTAACATTTCCTCTAAAAACATCAATAAATGGCTTTTAAATAAGCTGACTACAGTGAAATCACCTACCATGAAGTTTATGACATGGAAGTTACGTTTTTCTAATCATAGAAAGCGAAATTTGGTATCTGCAGAGCTTTGGTTACAGGTTACTTTTAGGAAACATTTTACAAAGCTTTATGTCAAATAGACAAAG